TCAGCCTTCCTGCTCCTCTGATGCTGCTTGGCCTGCTGTGTTCATCCGGCTCTACACCTTGTTATCTCAGATTCTCCCGCATCTGCAGTTCCTACTATCCACAGATGGAAGGTTGGCTTTCGTGATGGTCTGGGCTGTGCACACCTCCTTCTGTAGTTTCTAATGGTCCTGGGCACAGCAGTTTCCATACCAGGCCCTTATGCATCCAGCTAGAATGCTTTCAATGGTGCATCTGAAAAGGTTGGTAAGGGACCTTATGGACCTAAGCTGCCTGAGGAAGAAGAGGTGTTGTTGTGCGTTCTTGACCATTGTATCTATGTGGATCATCCAGGACAGATTGTTATCATCACTCCTAGGAACTTGATGCTCCGACCCTCTCCACTTCAGCTCCGTCGATGCAGATGGAAGCACGTCTTCATCCTTTCTTCCTGAGCTTCAATGATCAGTTCTTTAGTTTTGCCGACATTGAGAGAGAGAGATTGTTATCATTGCACCATGACACCAAGTCGTAGTCTGTATCGCTTGAGGGCATCGGAACGGGAGGAGGTCCCTTTTAAGACTATAAGGCCATAAGAAATAGGAACAGGAGTAGGCCATTCGGCCCTTCCAGCCTGCTCCACCGTTCAATAGTATCATGGCTGATCCGACATTCCTCAGGTGCACTTTCCTGCCCTTTCCCCGTAACCCCTCGTTTCCCCGAATCAATCTCTCGCAGCCTTAAATCTTCACACGTACCCCATTGGTCTGTGTGGCAAGGAGTTCCAAAGACTCTCAACCCTCAGAGAGAAGAAATTCCTCCTCATCCCAGGCGTGGCTTTATTCTGAGACAATGCCCAACGATCATGAGATTGGTGAAGCCTCTACCATTCTTGAAGAATTTCCTAACTTCGCTTCTGAAAGATCTGGATCTAACCCTTCAGTTATGATTTGGGGACTTCTTTCTCGACCAGCTGGGTGGCATGGAAACCCATTGCCAGGCTTCAAGGCCTCCAGGTTGTTGAGGAAAAATCGATTTCTTCTCAGTCTCTGGCTGCCCTGATAAAATGAACACGGTCTCTCCTTTCCTGCTCAGCTCACGCTAAGAAGATGTAGTGGGCACAGGTTGGCAAGGGCTGCAGTCGAGGGACACAGATTTGAAGCCATTCGTAAAGGCGATGACTTGGCGAAGCTCCAACAGGAGACCGAGTATGTGCCAAACACATAAGCAGCAGGCAGGGTTAAGGAACCTCATAACCGACGGATCAGATCTAACCTCCAGAGCCCTGCCTTAACCAGTTGTGAATGTTGGTGGGCCGCTAAAACGACTAACAGGAAGCTGAGGCTCCACAAATATCCCTGTCCACAATGATGATGGAGCCTTGGCCATCACAAGGGTGAAATGTGATCACCAAACATCAGCCAGAAGTGCCAAGTGGGTGATCCATCTCAGCTTCTGCCCTCGCTGATGCCAGGCATCAAAATGTTTGATCCACTGCATGTGAAATATTTGGAGGCACTTGATACCACCAATGCTATGGGCCCTGACAACATTCCAGCAGTAGCGCTGAAGACCTTGTGGTCCAGAACTTGCTGCATCCTTAGTCCATCAAGGATAGTAGGAACTGCAGATGCTGGAGTCAGAGATAACACAGTATGGAGCTGGATGAACACAGCAGGCCAGGCAGCATCAGAGGAGCAGGAAAGTTGACGTTTCGGGTCAGGACCCTTCTTCAGAAATGGGGGAGGGAGGAAGGGAGCTCCGAAATAAATAGAGAGACGAGGGGTAGGGCTGGGGAAGGTAGGTGGGACGGTGATAGATGAGTGCAGGTAGGCAGTGGTGGGGATTGGTCAGTGAGGTGGGGGAGAAGATGGACAGGTTGCGTCAGGTCAAGGAGGCGGGGATGAGAGGGAGAGTTGGTCATGGGATGAGGCTGGGGCGGGGGGGTGGGGTGGTGGGGAGAATTCCATGTTTAGGCTGTTGCAGTGCAGCTACCACATTGGCATCTACCCAAAATTGCCCAAGTATATTCTGTCCAACCAAGAGCAGGGAGAAATTCAACCCAGCCAATAGCCATCCCATCAGTCTCCTCTCAATCATCAGAGAGGTATTGGTTAGGCTGGCCAGGAGTGCCATCCAGTGGCACATTACAAAGGAATAAGAACAGCCAACGCCTGAAAAGCTCAGCGGGTCTGGCCAGCACTTGTGGAGAGAAATCACAGTTAATGTTTCGGGTCCGGTGACCCTTCCTCAGAACGCTGAAGAGTTCAGAAGAAAGGTCGCGGGACCCGAAACGTTAACTGATTTCTTTCCACAGGAACCGGCCAGACCTCCTGAGCTTTTCCAGCGATTTCTGGTTTTTGTTTCAGATTTCCAAGCGTCTGCAGTTATTTCGGGGCGTGGGGGCGGGGTTGGTTTTCGGTCATACAAAAGGAATAAGCTGCCCAGTGGATGTGCAGTCCTACCTGCGCTACTCAGCTCCTGACCTTGTTAGAAACTTGGTGCAAATATGGACAAACGAGCTGAACACGAGCTGAGGCGAGTATCTGCTCTTGACAACACAACACGGCCTTTTTCGAGTTTCACCACACCGGCATCTGGTAAAACTGGAGCAGAAGGGGGGAAATATCAGAGACATTTCTGTGTTCCCCCTCAATATATTCCACTAGCCAAAGAGAGTGATTGCTAAGTCTGGTCAGAAAGGGAAAGCTTCCCATCGGTTGAAGTCATAACTTGAACAAAGAAAGATGGGTTGTCAGTGATTGAACATCCCAGCCACAGGATATTATTGCAGGTTTGCGGTCCCAGGTTCAAAGGGGGATCTAATTGAAACTTTACTGAATGGCCTGGACAGAGTGGATGTTGGGAAGATGCTTCCATTGCTAGGAGAGACTAGGACCCGAGGGCACAGCCTTAGAGAAAAGGGAAGACCTTTTAGAACAGAGATAAGGAGAAACTTCTTCAGCCAGAGAATGGTGAATCTATGGAATTCACTGCCACAGAAGGCTGTGGAGGCCAGGTCATTGAGTACATTTAAGACTGAGATAGATAGGACTCGATGGGCCAAATGGCCTAATTTCTGCTCCTGTGTCTTGTGACTTATCTTCATTGCTGCACCAAACTCACCTCTGCTGCCGTCTCCATCGTAACATCGAAAGTGGGGGATGTTTGCCGGTAATTGCACAACGTTCAGCGTCATTTGCAACGCCGCAAACTCTGAAATAGTTTGTGGTCTTGTCCAGAAACAGCTGGACAATCTTTGGCTGGGCCTGACAAGTGGCGGGCCGAAGGGCTAAGAGTTAAAGATGATATTCGATGGCTGCATGGGAAAATAGATTGTACAGGATGGGAAAACAGTCTGGGAAAGTTAACAATGACACTTGACAAGCTGCATGACCTTCAATGAGGGCTGCGAACATTCCTTCACAGGCCAAAGACGATACCTGCAGCTTGTTTTCCTGTGGCTGCGTTCTCCGTACCAGCTGGCAGTTTTGTCTCTCTGTGTCGGCTTTCTTTGTGCTGGCTTTGTGTGTGAGAGAGAGAGAGAGAGTTTTGTTCCAAATCACGGGACAGCTCGGAGTCGCAAACAGTGCCAGAAACAAACTCAGCCTCCAGATGAGCCGTCAATCGAGGGGTCCCCCACGGGCAGGAGGGCGTGAGGCTTGTTGCTTTTGTGGTCACCCTGATTAAGGCCAGGCTTCAATTCCTCTACGCTCCCTTGGAGCATTAACCTGGGTCTCTGAATTATTCATCCAGTGGTGTTCTCACCTCTTGGCTGTCTACACAAAGATTTTCGGAAGTCATTTACCGTCAGTCAGTCAGTCAATTGTCACCCCCTCCATGTACGAGTGTTCCTGCCAATCTTGACTTCAATATCCCAGCTCTAAGGTGTATTAAGCCCTGGAGCTGTGTCAATGTCAGAGATTCCCCCTCAATGTATTCCTCTAGCCAAAGAGATTGATTGCTAAGTCTGGTCAGAAATTAGGACAATATTCACACCAACTGGAGGTGCACAGGTAAGTAGAGCAGATGTCACAATCCATTGAGCCACAACCTTATCAAATGATCGAGCAGGTTCAAGACCCCGAGTGGCCGATCCCTGCTCCTAATTCTACCACTTGTGATCCTAGGTCAGGTCAGTTGGGCAGAAACCTTGAAAGAACGTGAGGAACAGTTGCGAATGTGATTTTCAGGAGCAGGAGGATGTGAGGGTGACCTAAAGCGACACATTATGGGGACACAATGATCCTTGCCTCCCAGTTCCCCATTGGGCGATTATGACAATTGGAGTCTCGTTCTGTGCCAAACCCAAGACGTGTGCAATGACCCTTTCAGAGCCCCTCGGTCTGATTTTTGATTGGCTAACCGTATATTGCCTTATTCAGAACACGGGCAATCAGAAGATGATATCGTTTCTGCGGTTATAGAGATAGAGATGTACAGCATGGAAACAGACCCTTCGGTCCAACTCGTCCATGCCATCCACATATCCTAAATTAATATAGTCCCATTTGCCAGCATTTGGCCCATATCTCTCTTAAATCCTTCCTATTCATGTACCCATCCAGATGACTTTTAAATGTTGTAATTGTACCAGCCTCCACCACTTCCTCTGGCAGCTCATTCCATACACACACCACCCTCTATGTGAAAAAGTTGTCCCTTAGCTCCCTTTTAAATCTTTCCCATCTCGCCTTAGACGTATGCCCCTCTAGTTTTGGACTTCCCTACCCTGTGGAAAAGACCTTGACCACTCACCCTAACCATAGCCCTCATGATTTTATAAACCTTCACCCCTCAGCCTCTGATGCTCCAGGGAAAACAGCCCCAGCCTATTATGTCTCTCCCTGTACTAAAAGAGCTTTTTAAATGTTTGAATGTCTCTATATTTTCAGTGTTAAATTTCCCAGTTCCCCATTTCTCCTCTTTATGCTACCCTCTCTGCAACATCATCTGAATGCGCAACGTTATTTTCCACACAAACGCTGAAAACATCCAGCTCTCCTTCTAGTCCCTAATGTTGAAATGACCACCTTTTTATGGTTTATTTTTCAGATATTTCTGTCCTGTCTTACACGGATTTCAATTGTCTCCCTATATCCGAGGTCTCCTACAGGAAGGACAAGGGTTGGATCTTTGTAACGTGAGTTGGTCAATGCTTTCTGTAACTTTGCCTTTCATACCTGCGCCCAGCTCCCTCACACAGTCTGGTGCTTGCTTTGCCAACGTCTGGCACTCCCTAGATTCGAGGTAAAAAGGCGGTGGGGTGACAGGTTGGTATTGTAACTGAACCCATTTCTCTCCTCATGCAGCAGTGAAATACCAAGAAGATGAGTAATATTTGTACTGATTGTAAGACAGGAGAACCTCATAGAATATGAGTTCCCTGATTGGGGCTGTTAGCCTGGTCCAATCAGGGAGCCCTGGCTGACAGATATAAACAGGAGTGTCGGGAGGTTCTGTTCACTCTGAGAGCTGGCTCTGAGGGAGCCAGACCGTGTAAAGACACAGTGACTTGCTGATGGATAACAGCCTCTCTGGAGCCATTTCAGTATGTGATCCCCTATCACCAACTTTGAGCCCAGAGCCAACCCCGATTGTCTTTCAAATGCAATTGAGCCACTTGACACTGGCTTCATAAGTTCAGTTTGTCCCTGTATCAGCTGAGGATATTATGTCGGCTTGTCCTACTTCAGAGACATCACCCCAAAAATCTAAACTAACTCCCTCATAGCACCAGTGCTCGCAAACCTCTCACATGCCACCAGACCCGCTCAGTTTACCCCAAAACCTTCTTTTTTAAAAATTCAGATCTCCTGCACTTTGCTTTTAATTAAACTCTTAAATGTGTGTGAGAGTTCTTTATTCATTCACGGGATGAGGGCATTGCTGGCTAGGCAGCATTTATTGCCCATCCCTAATTGCTGTGGGTCTGGAGTCACATGTAGGCCCAGACCAGGTAAGGATGGCAGTTTCCTTCCCTGAAAGACATTAGTGAACCAGATAGGTTTTTTCCCAACAATTGACAATGGATTCACGGTCATCGTTACTCTCTTAATTCCAGACATTAATTGAATTCAAATGCCATGGTGGGATTTGAACCCAGGTCCCCAGGCTATTTTCTGGGTCTCTGGATTAACAGTCTAGCGATTAAACACCACAAAGGCCATCTCCTCCCCTGTGCTTATAGGACCTTGCTTTATACCTCATTGGAGAGTCTCCTCTAACAGCGAGCACTCCCTCAGCGCTGAGGGCATCAGCCTCCATTAAGACCATAAGATATAGGAGCAGAATTAGGCCACTCGGCCATTCGATCATGCCTGATATGTTTCTCAATCCCACTTTCCTGCCTTCTCCCAATAACCCATTGCCCCCCTGATCAATCAAGAACTGATCTATCTCTGTTTTAAAGACACTCGATGACTTGGCCGCCCCACAGCCCTCTGAGACAATGAGTTCTACAGAGTCACCCCACCCTCTGGCTGAAGAAATTCCTCCCCATCTCAGTCCCTTTGCTCTGAGACTGTGCCCCAGGGTCCCTCATCCCCTCCAGGGATGTGCAAGTTAGGGTGGATTGGCCATACTAAATTGCCTGTAGTGTTCAAGGATGTGTACTTTAGGGTGGGTTATAGAGGGATGGGTCTGGGTGCAATGCTCTGAGGTTCAGTGTGGACTTGTTGGGCCAAAGGAGCTGTTTCCACACTGTAGGGATTCTATTAAAAAAAGGTTGTCTTTCAGGTCTCTTTTAAATCTTCCCCCTCTCACCTTAAATCTAAGCCCCTCTAGTTTTGGACTCCCCTACCCTGGGGGAAAAGACCTTGGCTATTCACCCTATCCATGCCCTCATGATTTTATAAACCCCTGTAAGGTCACCCCTCAGCCTCCGACACTTCACAGAAAAAACTGCAGCCTATTCAGCCTCTCCCTATAACTCAAACTCTCCATGTTACTTAGATCATAGAAGCCCAACAGTGTGGTAGCAGGCCATTCAATCCATCGAGTCCACACTGACCCTCTGAGGAACACCCCAACTAGGCCCATCCCTGTAACCCCGCATTCTACATAGCTAATCCACCTAACTTACATATCCTCGGACACTATGGGACAATTTAGCACGGCCAATCCACCCTAACCTGCACGCCTTTGGACTGTGGGAGGAAACCGGACCACCCAGAGGAAACCCCATGCAGATACAAGGAGAACATGCAAACTCCACACAGACAGTCGCCCGAGGGTGGGATTGAACCCGGGTCCCTGACAATGTGAGGCAGCAGTGCTAACCACTGAGCCACTGTGCCAACCCCTCAAAGAAAGGACTTGAACCCACAGCCTTCTGGCTTAGGGGCAAAAGTCATACCCAGTCCCTCACACTGGGCACTAGAGTACTATATGCGTTGTGGTGATGACCCATTTGGGTCACCACAAGGGTCATGCACATCAATTCTTGGTTCTTGGTTCAATATTCCAGTTTCTGACTTCACTTGAACCCTTAATTTAGGGGGATATAATCTGGTCACTCCTGGCTAATCTCGCTCCCTTCTCTCAGCCTGGGAGTATACAAAACTCCACTCTCTGTAACATAGAGTCACACGGCACGGAAACAGACCCTTCGGTCCAACTAGTCCGTGCCGACCATAATCCCAAACTAAACCAGTCCCACCTGCCTGCTCCCGGCCCATATCCCTTTTCCTATTCATGTACTTATCTAAGTGTCTTTTAAACATTGTAACTGTACCCACATCCACCACTTCCTCTGGATGTTCATTCCACACACATAAACCTCTGTAATATTCACCAGCCCATCTCCTCCACAGCTCGTCTGCCACTATTTTCTCTAGGGCTGACTATCCCAGCACGGCCTGTGTAAATATGAGGCTCCCCTAAATTTCTGCTGCACTATGTCCTTCTCAAAAGTTGATCCGTCACTTCCTCTATTTGCTCACCTCCACTGTCCCAGTTTTCATCTTCTTGACCCTTTCTGTCAAGTGCCTCCACAGCGTCTTCTTCCCCACTCACCTCCCGCAGCCTATCTCTGCAACCTTCTCCAGTCGAAACCTCAATCCCAACCCCAAGATCTCCGCGGTCCTCCAATTTCTGACTTCTTACACAAGTTCCATTTTCATCATTGCTATGTGCGTGAATGCGACTAAAAAGTAAATTTCCTCTCCTCAGCCCTTCCCAAGCTATCTGGTGTCTTTCACACAGTTGACCACACCTCCAACACCTTTCCACTGTCATTCATAGAGTCATCGAATTGTACAGTATGGAAACAGGCTATTCGGTCCAACCTGCCCATGCCGACCAGATATCCAAAACTGATTGACCCCAATTTTCCAGCATTTGGCCCACATCCCTCTAAACCCTTCCTGCTCATGTACCCATCCAGATGCCTATTAAATGTTGTAATTGTACCAGCCTCCACCACTTCCTCTGGCAGCTCATTCTATACACGCACCACCATCTGTGCAAAAAAGTTGCCCCTTAAGTCCCTTTTATACCTTTCCCCCGACCTTAAACCTATGCCCCTCTAGTTTTGGACTCCCCTACCCTGAGGAAAAAGACCTCGGCTATTCACGCCATCCATGTCCCTGATCCAATCCATCCCTCTTAGATGTTAATGACATGGTGGGTCATCAAATCTCATTAATCTTCACAGAGCATGACGATTCTTCACTTTGGCCAATCTGGGCTTGAAATTCCCTCTCAAGAGTCATCCCCTCATGGACTGCCTCAATGTCTATTCCAATTCTGGTCAACCACTTCCCGTTCTTCTGTCTATAGTCACCTGGACTCCTGAAACTACACTGTCTTTCAAGCACAACTCCAGCTTTTCACTGAGTGAGAACTACACTCGTATTTTTTTTTCCTGAGCTCCAATCTAGTTCAGTTGCATTAATACTGCATGCAGATTTCCTTCACTCTTAGCACAGCTTCACCGAACTATGAAGTCACTGTGGCTTCTACAGAGCTACACAACTCCCTGGACCTTTCTTGAGTCCTAACTCCAACACTTTGTTGCCTGCTAATCCCTCAAACTACTACCTGAGTCCTAACAGCATCAACCATCCACTAATGCTGGAATTCTCAGTGAGTTCCCCAGCGCACAGAGTCAGTGTAGTCCAGCTGCCTTTACAGCAGCACCGCTAACAACAACGCTGCCTAACATGGTGTTAGCTTTTGTCTCCTATATTCATCAATTCTCCCAACTGCCGCTAATCTGGGAACTGCTTTTTAGTGACTTCCGAACTATCCTGAGTAATCTCCTAAAAACTTTGCCATAAGCCCTGCCCTTGTGATGTGTGGGATAGAATTCTGACCCCTAGAAACTCTTAGAATTGAGTGCAGTCTGAATGGTATAATTCAGGCTGGCACCCCCTGTACAATTGGATAGAACAGGCAATGGACTTCTGCCACAGTGGCCCAGTGCCTCACAGCGCCAGGGACCCGGGTTCAATTCCACCCTTGGGCGACTGTCTGTGTGGAGTTTGCACATTCTCCCTGTGTCTGCGTGGGTTTCCTCCCGGTGCTCCAGTTTCCTCCCACAGTCCAAAGATGTGCAGGTTAGGGTGGATTGGCCATTCTAAATTGCCGCATAGTGTCCAGGGATGTGCAGGTTAGGGTGGATTGGCCGTGCTAAATTGCCCCATAGTGTCCAGGGATGTGTAGGTTAGGGTGGATTGGCCGTGCTAAATTGTCCCATAGTGCCCAGGGATGTGCAGGTTAGGGTGGATTGGCCATGCTAAATTGTCCCATTGTGCCCAGGGATGTGCAGGTTCGGGTGGATTGGCCGTGCTAAATGTGGGGTTACAGGGCTGGGTCTAGGTGGAATGTTCCTCAGTGTTGGTGAATAGACCAAACGGCCTGTTTTCCCACTGTAGGCATTCTATGATTTTATTACAGAAAGCATAAGTTTTCACATGTACTCTGATGATACCATTAATTCTGTTGACTCCTCCTGTGTTGCTAATTTACCAGGCAGCTTATCTGACATGCGTCTTCATTACTTTACACATTTCCATCTCCATTACATTGCCCCCCCACTTTCTCAATTCACTTGCTGCTGAAACTCTCGTCATGTTAACGTTCCTCTCCACTTTGTTGTCAACATGAATTTTATGGTCGATGTATTCTAGCGTTGACCTAGAGCTTTTAGTTTTGGGAATTAGGTTTTACTCCAGGGCATGGGATAAATGCACTTGAAGTCTAATGCACTTAAACATTTGGGAATATTTTGTTTTAAGAGACTAATAGGCAGAAAGGTAGGAGCTCCAAACACAAGGAAAACATAAAAGATCTTGTGACCACCAACTAGAAGAATAGTTAGATCACAGAATCCCAACAGTGTGGAAACAGGCCATTTGGCCCAACAAGTCCACACTGCCCTCCAAACAGCATCCCACCAAGACCCAGTTCCCTTGTCTAACTCACCTAACCTGCACATCCCTAGACACTATGGGGAAATTTAGCACGGCCAATCCACCTTGCCTGCACATCTTTGGACTGTAGGAGGAAACTACAGCACCCGGAGAAAACCCACACAGACACAGGGAGAACGTGCAAACTCCACACAGATAGTTGCCCAAGGCTGGAATCGAACCCGGGTCCCTGGCATAGCAAGGCAGTAGCACTAACCACTGAGCCACCATGCCATCCAAAGGAAGCTCTCCTTATGCCGGATTTGAACAGTTGCTGCATTTTCCCATAGAGTGAGCAATTCACAGTGTGTGAAGTGTTTTTGGAATGTTTCTGAACTAGCCTTTACTTGTTCTGTTTCTAATTCCTAGATCCTTCAACTTGAATAAAACTATCCACGATCCAAGCGTGTTCACACCTCCTCCAGAGTGCTCTCATCTGAACTAATCGCTGAGACTATTCTCTCGTGGAACTGGTGGAACTATCAGATTTAGTCTAATAAAGAATGATTGTACCACGGGTCTGCCTGTTTACTGAGGTCAACAATTTTCCCACTTTCTCTGTCTGGAGAGTTTACAGAGTTTTCCTCCCCAGAGATACACTTAATGGTAAGGTCCTGGGGTGTGTTGCCAAACAAAGGGACCTTGGGGTGCAGGTTCATAGATCCTTGAAAATGGAGTCGCAGGTAGACAGGGCAGTGAAGAAGGTGTTTGGTACGCTTGCCTTTATTGGTCAGTGCATTGAATATAGGATTTGGGAGGTCATTTTGCAATTGTACGGGACATCAGTGAGGCCACTTTTGGAATAGTATGTTCAGTTCTGCTCTCCCTGCTATAGTAAAGATGTTGTTAAACTTGAAAGGGAGCAGAATATATTTACAAGGATGTTGGAGGGTTTGAGCTACAGGGAGAGCCTGGGCCTATTTTCCCTGGAGCGTCGGAGGCTGAGGGGTGACCTTATAGAGGTTTATAAAATCATGAGGGGCATGGATAGGGTAAATAGACTAGGTCTTTTTCACAGGGTAGGAGAGTCCAAAACTAGAGGGGCATAGGTTTAAGGTGAGAGGGGAAAGATATAAAAGGGACCCAAGGGGCAACTTTTTCACACAGAGGGTGGTGCATGTGTATGGAACGAGCTGCCAGAGGAAGTGGTGGAGGCTGGTACAATTGCAACATTTAAAAGTCATCTGGATGGGTACATGAATAGGAAGGATTTAGAGGGACATGGGCCAAATGCTGGCAAATGGGACTAGATTAATTTGGGACATCTGGTCAGCATTGACGAGTGGGACCGAAGGGTCTGTTTATGTGCCGTACATCTCTGTAACTCTATGACTGTTGAAGTCAGGGTAATTGATTATTTTTAAGCCCAAGATGGACAGACTCCTGAATGACTAGGCCGACAATGACCTCACCCTGCTCACATTGTTTAAGTCACTAACCTGTCCAGTTACATTTCCTGAGTTCATTCAGAAATCTGCTGTCTAAGGTCCTCACATCTTCTTCTATTCCCCAATCAGAATAGCAATTTTTTTGTCACGTGTATTTTCACAAAAAAAAGAGACAGTGAAAAGTTTTATATACCACATCGCTTTTAAATTAATAACAGAAATCATAAACAAGAAGAAAACATAAAAGTTCATCATAGTTCAATTAAATGGCTCCCGGGGATGGGGTACGCTGGAAAACCAGGCCGAGACTGCCACACTGGGCCAAGAACAGACCTCGGCGCTGGCACTAGGCCTTCACTTCAGGCTGCTGGAATACCTGGGCAGCCACCAAAGAAGACCTCCATGATGGGAGATCGCCCCGCCAGTCACCAGGCCTAGACCGTCATTTTGGGCCTTCGGAAACCACCTCGTCACTGGGCCGAAAGATGCCTTTTGCCGAGGTTATTGAAAGAAGGTAAGGTACCATAATAAATGGAAACATTAAAAAAAAGCATAGAAAGAGTAAAATAAAACTAAAGCAGACGGAGCAGACAAGCTCTGTGCTCCTGGGCTGAGAAGCCTACATTTTCTGTTGTTACTCCACCACCAACTTGAAAAAAAAAATCACACCTCAACACCACTTACCAATCAAGTTATGCCTTTCATCTCAAATTTCTCAACCTGCTTTTCAAATCCATCAATGTCCTTGGCCCCTCCCCATCTCTGCGACTTCATTTTCCTTATCTTTTCACGGGATGAGGGTGTCACTGGCCAGGCAGCATTTATTGCCCCATCCCTAATTGCTCAGAGGGCAGTTAAAAGTCAATCATATTGCTGTGGGTCTGGAGTCACGTGTAGGCTCAGACCAGGTAAGGATGGCGGTTTCCTTCCCTAAAGGGCATTAGTGAACCAGATGGTTTTTTCCAACAATTGGCAATGGACTCAAGGTCATTATTACTCTCCTAATTGCAGAATTTTTTTTACTGAATTCCACCATCTGCTATGGTGGGTCTCAAACCGCAGTCCCCAGAACATTACCTAAGTCTCTGGGTTAACAGTCCAATAATAATGCCACTAGGCCATTACCTCCCCAGCACTGTCACCTGTTATCCCACTGAAATCTATGGACAATTCCTGGCTTCTTGCGCGTGAACAATTAAAAGCCCAAAGTTCAGCTCTTTCTGAGTTTCACCTCCTTTCAGGGCCTGTACAAAGTCAGCATGGTGTTAAGGGGCACACATGAGTGGTATGCAAATTAATGGGACGGGTTTCGGGCCTTGGTGAGATTTGTGACAGAATAGAGTGAAAAGTGTGGTGAGGCCTACTTGACACTGGGGGCAACTTGCTGCATCTGTTGAACACATTGCCAAGTGTGAGGGGTTGATGTACGTTAATCAAGTTGCAAATTGCCAGTTAAGGCTGGGGTTGGGGCGTGGAGTTTGCGTTTTATTGCTTGTTAAACACCACAGCTCATCTCATTATTATATTCAGCTTCCCATCCCAGCAAATGTGCTGATCAAGATGGACACCATGAATTCTCAACACAGAAATTAGAGCGGACGACTTCAGCTTTGCTGCTGCCTGCATGGGGCCTCCATGTTCCTCAGCTCCAAACATTATCTCAAGGCACGACCCATGGGCACCATTCATTGAAGAGCATTGGCACCCGACTTAGGGCCATACAGCACAGAGACAGACCCTTCGGCCCAACCAGTCCGTGCTGACATCAATCCCAAACTAAACTAGTCCCACCTGCCTGCTCCTGGCCCATTTCCCTCCAAACCTTTCCCTGTTCATGTACTTATCCAAATGTCTTTTAAACGTTGTAACTGTACCCACATCCACCACTTCCTCTGGAAGTCCATTCCACCCTCTGTGTAAAAAATTTGCCCCTCGTGTCTTTTTTAAATCTCTCCTCACACCTTAAAAATATGAAATCCCTCCACCCTAGAGAAAAGACACCTACCATTAACCCTATCTATACCCCTCATGATTTTATAAACCTTTATAAGGTCACCCCTCAACCTCCTACGCTCCAGTGAAAAAATTCCCAGCCTATCCATCCCTTTCTTTATAACTCAAACCCTCCATTCCCAGCAACATCCTGGTAAATCTCTTCTGAACCCTCTCCAGCTTAATAATATCCTTCCTATAACAGGGCGACCAGAATTGGACACAGTGCTCCAGAAGAGGCCTCACCAATGTACTATACAACCTCAACATAACGTCCCAACTCCTATACTCAAAGGTCTGAGCAATGAAGGCAAGCGTGCTAAACGCCTTCTTAACCACCCTGTCTACTTATGACGCAAACTTCAAAGAATTATGGACCTGAACCCCTAGGTCTCGCTGTTCTACAAACTACCCAAGGCTCTTTAATTGAACAAGTCCTGCCCCTGTTTGTTGTACCAAAATGCAATATTGTGCATTTATCCAAAACGAACTCCATCTGCCATTTTTCAGCCCAATTGGTGAAGATCCCTTTGCAATCTTAGGAAACCTTCTTCACATCTGCCAACACATCACGGTGCTTCTCCACCCCGCTCACAGGCTCCTCAGAAAGCAAAGATTTGCACCACAGGATGTGCCAAGATTAGCATTGGAAGCTACAAGGACACTTTGTGCATGGGGAGGGCAGCTGACAAATTGGACCAGGGCTGCATCTCAGGCCTGCTCACTTTCTCTCTATTGGTGGCCACTCATTCAGTGCCTACCTGGAGCCTCACAGCACCTCCACCAATTAACACACAGCCAGGTCAATAGTCCTCAGTAACAGGGGGCCGATATCTTGCTGCACGGCCATGCTTTAGCCTATCTCACTTGTACACCACGTGCTGGTAGGTCAGACAACAAGCTCACTGTATGTGCTTCAGGGAAGCAGACCCGTCACAGAGTCTTAGGGAGCAGTCTTTCCCTGTCAGTTGAGGAGGGTGTTATAATACGTCAAGGGCTGCCTCTGATACCGGTTTGCACCTGCAAACCAACTTTTAGCGATTCATGCACAAGGACACCCAGGTCCCTCTGCACAGCAGTGTGCTGCAAATTTTTCACCATTTAAGTAACAGTCCATTCTACTGTCATTCCTACCAAAATGGATGACCTCGCATTTACCAACATTGTACTCCATCTGCCAGACCCTTACCCACTCACTTAACCAACCTTTCTCCCTCTGCACACCTTGCGCTACTACTCATCTTCGTGTCTTTGATACACTACACTTAGTCCCCGACTCTAAATGATCTATGTAAATTGTAAACAATTGTGGTCCCAACACTGATCTCTGAGGCACACCACTAGCCACTGATCACCAACCAGAAAAACTCCCATTTATCCCCACTCTTTGCTTTCTGTTAGTTAACCAATCTTCTATCCACACTAATACAATACCTGTAATGCCGTGCACCTTTATCTTATGCAGCAGCCTTTTGTGCAGCACCTTGTTGAATACCTTCTGGAAATTCAGATACACCACATCCACTGGTTTCCCATTGTCCAACACGCTCATAATATCCTCAAAGAATTCCAGTAAACTTGACCTGCCTTTCATGAGCCTGATGGGACAATTTCTATCCAGATGCCTTGCTATTTCTTCCTTGGTGATAGATTCAAGCATTTTCCCTACTATAGAAATTAAGCTAACCTGCCTTTTGTCTACCTCCTTTTAAAACAGTGGTGTCACATTGCTGTTTTACAATCTGCAGGAACTGCTCCAGAGTGCCGTGAATTTTGTTAAATTACCATGAGCATATTTGCTATTTCCCCCACCATCTCTTTTAGTACCCTGGGATGCATTCCATCAGGGCCAGGAGACTTGTCTACCTTGAGCCTCATTAACTTGCCCAACTCTACCTCTTTAGTGATAGTGATCATTTCTAGGTCCTCACCTGCCACGCCTCCTTGTCATCAATTATTGGCATGTTATTTGTGTCTTCCACTGTGAAGACTGACACAAAATATCTGTCCAACGCCTTGGCCATTTCCTCATTTCCGATTGTTAAATCCCCCGAATGCATCCTCCATATGTGTTGTGATCAGTGGAGTACTGGGAGATAGTAAACTCTTACAACCTTGGTCTCACAATACAAACACTCCAACCAAGAAGGACTGTGGAGGGCAAGTCCTTGAGCATCTTTAAGACAGAGATAGATATTTACTGAGGGTCACCGAACCTGAAAAGTTAACTCTGATTTCTCTTCACAGAGGCTGACAGACTTGCTGAGCTTTTCCAGCAACTTCTGTTTTTGTTTCTGATTTACAGCATCCGCAGTTCTTTCGGTTTTGTTTGTAAATATTTTCTTGATTGGTAAGGGAATCAAGGGTTAGGGGGAGTAGGAAGGAGAATGGGGTTGAGAAATATATCAGTTGTGATCGAATGGCGGAGCAGACTTGATGGGCCAAATGGCCTAATTCTGCTCCTGTATCTTTCTTGCTCAGCTTCAGACCTATTCGGAGGAAAGGAGAAGTCAATGTTTCGGCTATGACCCTTCTTCAGGACTGTTTTGGGAATCACCCTTCGCCATGAGTCCTGAAGAAGGGTAATACCTGAAACGTTGACTGCTACTTTCCTCCAGATACTGCCTGGCTTGCTGTGCTCTTCCAGCCTCCTGTTGTTCTACCTTAGATTCCAGCATCTGCAGTATTTTTTTTGCCTCTAAGCCTGTTTCAGACCCATGCTGGATGGGAAAGACTACAACTCCCGCGAAGCTCCGCGGCCGCGTTTGCACGCATGCGCATCCTTGCTCCCCCCCCCCCACCAGTACCACCACCACCAAAGGAATCAGCGCTCTGGTGGCAACTGGACTTCACGCACGCGCAGCCGCTTCGCGCGGCGGGCGCCCCACTCACGGGAGTGAGCAGGCGCAGTCGGAGGCGGTGGGCGGCAATGCGCAGGCGCGGTCGGTTGTGGTTGGGGGGGCGGAGGCGGAGTCGCCGGCTGATGCGCAGGCGCGACGGGGGCCGGTTCCACCCCCCGACCCTTGACGGAGTGAACGGGTCCGAAGCCGAGCCTGGGACTCGAAGTCAAATTCAAAGAGAGAGGCGCTAGACGGAGTTTTCATCGCTCGGCAGTCGAAGGACGTGACGGAGAAGGATGAAGTGGGAGGTGAGAGTGGGTTCGCTGGGCGAGCTTGTCTCCAGTTGACGGGGCGTTTGGAGAGAGACAAGGGGGTCTGTCAGAATCTTCCATTGGTGGAGGAGGAAGGGGGGGGGGGGGGAATTGGGGGATTGAACCTCTTTCCCCCTCAGTACCCCCCCCCCCAAAACCTGTCCAATGGTCTCGGCTGCTCCAACCTGTGTAGAAAGGTGGTCCCCATTAAACCTTCCAAAGTGAGGGAGATAGTCCCCCCCAACTGGGGTGGAGGCAGTGTAGGCAAGGGCTAATTCATCAGGGGGAGGGGGAATCCTCAGGTCTGACTTACCAGGGGGAGGGGGACTTCCCTGGGATTGCGTTTATCGGGTGGTAGGGATTTCCTCGGGACCAGGTTGTTGGGGTTGGGGTTGGGGTTGGGGTTGGGAAGGCTTTTTCAGGACTGGGTTCTGGATATGTGGGTGGTAGAGACTTCCTCGGGACCTGTTCGTTAGGAGTAGGGACTTTCTTGGGGAGCTGGACCGGGCTGTCAGGGGGGCAAGTGAAGGGAGGCTGGCACAGTAACGACATGTGTGTACGGCATCTGGATGGGTACGTGAACACAAGGGGTTGGAGAGGGATACAGGCCAGACGCCAGGAAATGGACGTCCTGAAGCAAACCAGGTACTACGGCCACATCACCTTCCTTAGCACCTGTCCGTCCTCCCTGGACTGACCTATCCCCTTCCTAACTCCTGACCTACACTCACCTTTACTGGCTCCATCCCTGCCTCTTCGACCTGTTTGTTTCCTCTCCTCTATCCCTCTTCTATCCGCCTCCCACTCTCTCCCTATTTATTTCAGAACCCCCTTTTCTGATGAAGGGTCTAGGCCCGAAACGTCAGCCTCTCTGCTGCTATGATGCTGCTTGGCCTGCTGTGTTCATCCAGCTCTACACCTTGTTGTCTTGGCCAGGAAATGGGACTTGTTTAATTTAGGATATCTAGTCAGCATGAACGAGTTGGACCAGAGGGTCTGTTTCCGTGCTGTACAACTCTACGACTCTGATGGGATGGGAGAAACGTCCCAATGTCTCTTGGGAGGTTGCTTACTGTCTCAGCCTTATCCACGTTCAGCCACTGGATATGTACCTAACCCCCAACAACCCGGACCCAATGAAGTCTCTATTCCCCCGACAACCCAGTCCAGAGGAAGTCACTACTCCCCCCCCCCCCCCCCCCCCACCCCCCCCGACAAACGGGGCCACAGGAGGTCCCCTACCCCACCCCCACCCCCACCCCCACCCCCACCCCCACCGACAAAGTCCCAAGAATGGCTGCTCATTCCATACACACGCTACCATCACTTCCAGAATTCATGACGGACTTTGTGTTTGATTCATTCCTTGAGTGTTGGTTAGGCCAGTATTATTGCCCATCCTTGATTGCTGTTGAGAAGATGGTGGTAAACCTCTTGTACTGCTTAAGTCCATAACTTGTAGGTACACCCAATATATTGGTAGGAAGAGAATTCTAGGACTTTGATCCAGCGACACTGAAAGAACAGCTGATATAGTGCAGGTCAGAATGATGTATGACCTGGAAGGCATTTTGTAGCTGCAAGTGGCCCCTTGTCCTCCTGGGAGGGAGAGGTCACTGGTAGGTGCTGCCCAGTTTCTGCGGTGTGTCTTGGAGATGATAAATGGTTTTGTCATTGGCACTGTCTCCATCACCAATACACAATCAAAGCCGGCTGCTCTGCCCTGAAGGGTGTCCAGCTTCAACAGTTGCTGGAGCTGCATCTATCCAGGGAAGTGGCGCGTATTCCATCACACTCCTGACCTGTGCCTTGGAAATTTCTTTAAATTCTTCAGCCATAGAGTGGTGAATCTGTGGAACTTGTTGTTGCAGAAGGCTGCGGAAACCAAGTCATTGAGTGTGTTTAAGTCAGAGTTAGGTTCTTGATTAGTAAGGGAGAAGGAAGGAGAATGGGGTTGAGAAACATATCAAATAGTGGGGCAGACTGTCTGGGCTGAATGGCCTAATTCCGTTCTTGTGGTCTTATGAGATGATGGGGAGGCACTGGGGAGTCAGGAAGTGAGCGACCCACTGCAAAATTCACAGTCTCTGACCTGCTGTTGTTGCCATGCTATTTATACATCCATTCCAGTTCAGTTTCTTGTTAATCTTGGGATGTTAACTGTGGGAGATTCAGCAACGGTAATGCCACTTTGTGTGCGTGTGTATCTGTTCATTCAGCAATCCAAACCAGATAGTGGGAGGGAAGTGGGGAGAGGCAGCGGTATTAGTTCACAGTACAGTCCCTCGTATTGTTTTTTGGATCAGGATTTCACATCCGCTTCAGTTTTTGAAGGAATGAGAGATGAGCAGCAGCTAATTTGTTATAAATGTTTATCCCTGAGGTGCCTAAGAGTTTTGTGCCACATTTATTTTCAGTTATATTGACCAGTGTTTTTTTTTCCTCTGAGGTTCATTTTAATGAATATCTTTGTGTTGGTGATGGATTTCTGTCTGCTGTAGAGTGGCCTGGGGTTTTTAATACTTCCATTCTTGGACAATGAACAGTAACAGCTCTTGTTAGGGAAAGGAATAGTCTTTTGTTAAGGGAGCTGTGGTGCAGCTCATGGCTTAAACGCTTGACATTTTCTCCCTGTAAACTGCTTGCAGTTTGCAAGGCCTCAAATAGACCTTTGGCTGGCGTGAGTTTTCTTTTTCCACCCAGCAACGCTGCATTAAATTCCTGTACTCCTGTGCATGCATCATTGATAGGGAGTTTATGATTTTGTGGAAAAATGACCAATCTTCAAGAGAGAACTTGGCCTGAGAGGCTTGGAAGGGAGAGTACTCGTGGAATGTGGTCCAAGCAGGCACTTCCCAACAGATAATTGGTTAGGCGTCAGTCTGAACTTTACAACTGTCTTTCTCATCCCTGTTTTTATGATCGCAATTTATTGTGAAATTGGTCGGAACAGGATGAAGTAACTCTGCAACTCTCTAAAATGTTTGGCTGCCCCTCCTGTGTGTGGGACATGCTCCTTCCCTTTGTCCCAATTCTGACATTTTTGTTTGAAGCAACAGCTATTTTGTTTAGGGGATAATCAGTAAGTAGAAATCATTAGAAGATCTCGTCAGTTCTGATAACATTGTCAGTGTCAAGCTATTATTAAAACCTTATCTGAAGCTGTACATGATGAGACCATGCCTTTGTGGTCATTTCTGCACACTTCTTTTTAGTCCATGTGACTTTGTTTCAGTTTATCAATGAGGGAGTGGAATATTTTGTGTTTCAGACTTGCAGTGTCCAAAATAAACATTCCCAGAGCAGGTATGGTGGACGTCTCTAAATTGTCCCCTTCAAAGATTTCATAGATACAGAGTAAAGCTCCCTCTTCACCTTCACCATCAAACACTCTTGGTACAGGGACATCACAGGGTAACATACAGCGTAAAGCCCCCTCTACAAAGTCCCCATCAAACACTCCCAGGACGGGGACATCATGGGGTTAGATACAGAGTAAAGCTCCCTCTGCACTGTCCCCCATCAAACATTCCTAGGAAAGGGACAACACTGGGCTAGATACAGAGTAAAGTTCATGCTATATCATCCCCATAAAACACTCCCAGGTCGAGGACAGAATAAGGTTAGATACAGAGTAAAGTTCCCTCTGAACTGTGGCAAATATTTTGTGTTGCATGTCAGTCACTGCAAAGTTGATTCCTGGAGTTCAGTTGCTTGGATTGGGAGCAGCCCAGTCTTGACTGAATTGTGGTGCATACTGTTATGATGTACCTGTTGGAATTATGTGAGAGCATTGCACTTGGCGATTATGAAGAAGTGTAAAAGTATCTCTTCTTTTATTTAGCAGGTGGAAGAGGATTGTTCTTTATATCTGCTGATCACCAAAGACTGACAGTATGCTGGATCAAACCGAACCATGCCGGGGTAGATGACAAGTGCCTTTGAGGGGCTCTGGGCAACTTTCACCCAAGCCGTGCATTCAAGGGCAGGAAGACACCGTCCCAGTCCTGAGTTAATGACGGTTTCCCAACAGTGGGGATGGGACCAGGCTACGTGTCGTTAACATTGGTACAATCCATTATCGGAGCAACACTGTGGTCCTTTCAGCGGGGTCAGGGGTGTGGGAAAGTTAGAAACTGGAGAGCTGTTTAAACTGTGCAGGAGAAAGACCACCCAATTTTGCCAAGAAGTTTAATATCACATTTTTACTGACTGGTCCATTCTGACAAAGTTTGGCCCCAGCTGATTGAGGAAGAAAAGGTGGAACTAGCAGACAGACATTTTGCATCTTCCATCTTTGAACTGGACCTGTTTTTGTTCTGCTGAGCCGCCTGTTGGTTTTGTCCCTTTGCCATCTTTCAGAGGTGAGAAGGTTACCGGAACCGAGCTCTCAACTTTAATTCTGAGCATTTCAGGTCTACATTAACCATCGTGGGAGACTCCTCTGTGCACAGTATAAGTAATTGGGAACTCATTTAAACAAAGTCAATCTGGTGGACATTCGATTCTATTGTTTCACTTTTCCCCAAGGTTAAACCATCGATTTTTCTTGTGTTTTTATCCACGGGGTGGGATCTGGTGCTCATCTAGAGTCGTAGAGTCTGTCTCCATGCTGTGTGACCCTTTGGTCCAAGCAGTCCATGCTGGCTCTAATCCCGAACTAAACTAGTCCCACCTGCCCATACATTTCTTACTCGTGTACTTAACTAAATGTCTTTTAAACGTTGTAACTGTACCCACATCCACCACTTCCTCTAGAGGTTCGTTCCACACGCGAACCACTCTCTGTGTTTTAAAAAAAAAAGTTGCCCCCCATGTCTTTTCGAAATCTTTCTCCTCACACCTTAAAAATATGCCCCCTAGTCTTAAAATCTCCTATCCTTGGAAAAAGGCACCTGCCTAGAAATTTGAAATTCGATTTTTTATTTTTTTTTCCCTTTTTAGTTGCAAAATCAATGGAATATAATCTGTTTGGAAGGCACCCAGGAGAAATCTTGACAAGTGTGGTAACTGTCTGGATCCATTCCTGAGTCAGTGTATGTCCACAGTACCAAGGCTGTGCACAAATCCCCCACCCCTGTACCAATTCAGCACTTTGGATGCTGCACAAGAGCTGATGCCGGCATTTGGATAATATCACGCTGCCGTTGCTTTTCATGAAGTGTTTCACTGTATGTGCCCAGCCTGGTATGGATTGGGTACACACCAGGGTGCCCAGAATGGAGAAAACACCAGTTGGCACTTGTTTAAAGGGAGTTATTGTCAACCAGGTGGAGAAGACGCACTGGGAGCGAATATTCATGACCATGCGAAAACAGTAACAGAGATTGCTGCAGGTCAAATGATTCCCTCTGAGGTACCAGCTTTTGTGGCTGACAGTACCTTCCCAAGGAGCCGTCTTGTGCTAATATCAGCTTGCGGCTCTGAGTGTGCCCACTCGGATACCATTCCACTGGGTTTGGGCAGTAGCCAGTACCTTTACAAAGTGGGATGCTCTGCACGTCTGAATCTTAATGCTGAGGGAGGAGCATTACAGCTGAACCCAGTGCTGCCCTCCCCTAATATCCCCAAACTGTCTTCTGGAAGAAATCACCGCACAATCATGCTTGGGGCATGAACCCTAGACCTCTTTCTATCGATTGCTTAACTAGAATTCATACGTCTGAATTCCCCTTCCCACCCCAGCAACCGTTGATTTTGAAAGCCTCCTGGTAGTTTTGGTTAGAGCAGGGTTATGTGTTGTACATGTCCGTGTGTTCAACTCTCCCCTCCGTTGGAGGTGTCTGTCTGTTATCTGCTGATTGATTGATTAATAAACTATCTCTGATTCAAAGTTAAACTTTAAACTTGATTTAAACTTCTCTCCTGGTAGGTTATTCTGAGATCAGTCCGGTGCATAGTGGCCATCGTGGTTCTGGACCTGAAGATGGAAGGTTTACAAGTTATGGATATTGCATTGAGTACCGTGAGCCCAGAACCCCTGCAGCCTGCTGTTCCGCCCTCGGTTACACTGGGTCTGACCATTGTTTACACTGCACTTTACGGACTCCTCTTCCTCCTGGTCTACATCCAGCTCTGGCTGGTGCTGCATTACAGGCACAAGAAGTTCAGCTACCAGACTGTCTTTCTCTTCTTGTGTCTCCTGTGGGCTGCTCTGAGGACTACCCTCTTCTCGTTTTACTTCCGAGACACCATCCAAGCCAACACGCTGGGTCCTTTTTCCTTCTGGCTGCTCTACTGCTTCCCAGTCTGCCTGCAGTTCTTCACCCTCAGTCTCATGAATATGTACTTTGCTCAGGTAATTATGATAAGCTTTCTCGCAGCTTGGGACGGCTAATTGTGTTTGACTTCTGACCAGGCAGATGAATGATTGTAGCAAATTGAAAATCTCCCTCAGGCTGCGATTGTTAGTATTGACAAGTGTGTGCGCTTCTCTATTTGTTTTTGAGCTGGCATCTTTATTTTAGAGAGTCTCAAACGATCTTTTTTTACCTGGGCCAAACAGGAAGTGCGACATTTTTAAAATTCATTCATGAGATATGGATGTCACTGGCCAGGCCAGCATTTATTGCCCATCCCTAATTGCCCAGAGGGCAGTTAAGAGTCAACCACATTGCTGTAGGTCTGGAGTCCCAGATTGTTTTTTTTTCTCTGATAATCAACAATGGTTTTGTGGTCATCGTTACACCCCTAATTCCAGATATTTATTGAATTAAAATTCTGCTTTCTGCCATGGAAGGATTCGAACCTGGATCCCCAGAGCATTACCAGGATCTCTAAAATAAGAGTCTAACATTAATACCGCTAGGCATCAGTTCCCCATCTGCTCCAGCTGAAGGGTGTGGGTTCAAATCCAGCTCCTAATCATTTGAGCTTAGTTTGAGGCAGTGCTACTTCTCGGAGGTGACATTTTAGAGATAAATGCGAAGATGAGGTTAAAGACCCAATAAATACAGACACGCGCACACACACTTGCGTGCGTGCACAAGCTCGCTGTCACTCCCGCGCTCGCACACACACACCCCATGCCAACATGTAACTCAATCCATTTAGTATTTTCTGGAGTCTTATCAAATGCATGTCAACTCTCAGTATTGACAACATTTCAGAAATCTTTGTTTCTCAGAGTTGTTATATATGTAAATGCACGTTTCCTTTTCAAAAATGTTTGCACCTTAGACAGACCAGGAATGCAAAGGCAATTCAGCCACCTCCATTGTTCAAATCATAGAATCCCTACAGTGTGGAAGCAGGCCATTAGGCCCATTGGTTCCATACCACCCCTCCGAAAAGCATTCCACCCAGACCCAGACCCGTGCTGCCCTATGATCGAGCCCCTCTTGTGGCTTATCCTCCTCAATCCTTAACAGAGGAACTAATTTATCATAGACTCTCCCTGTTCCTTCATCTGTAGAAATAAAGACCTTCTCTGCAGCGTTCTTTGTGATCTCAGGAGGCCACAAAGTGGTTCACGGCCAACGAAATGTGGCAGCCAGTTTGTGCAGAGCAAGCTCCCACAAATGGCATTTAGTTGTTATATTGGCTAACATGGTTTGTTGACGTTTGGCTGAGAGAGAAATGTTGATCGGAGCTACTCCCTTAGCTCTCACCCTTGCCCTGTTTACATTTGGCCACATTACTGTTCAGCACCCTTCCATTAATTATTTCCAGGTAGCTCCAATTCCCAATCTCTCTTGTGCTCAGTCATGTGGTGAGATATCTTGGTTCATTCTTTCCTCCTCTGCCATCCCACAGCAAGGACCATTGCAATGCCTTAAGACTCTTGAATGGTGCTACAGAAACCTTCTGTTCAAAGGTTAAACCTGCCCTCTCTCCTTTCAGTATGACTGGATCCTGAAATGACTGATGTACCGCAAATAAAGATGCAAGTAAGCCAGCAATAATCAGCTGAACCCAGTTTATTATTTTTGTGAGCACAAACAAGATAAGCTAGTGTAGAGATAGTAGGAACTGCCGATGCTGGAGAATCTGCGATA